CTGCCCGTGCGCTTAAAGCGGACCAAATGGTCTCGACTAGGGCCCAAGTCCTGTTTTTTTTTCAGCCATTTCCATCGGCCAGCGTAATGGCCAACGGCTACCGACCGGGCCAGCAACTCCAGCTCAAAGCCACTCGGCCACTTTATTGAAGTTTTTCCTAGCCATTGCATTCGCCTCTTTTTTTTGCAGTACCCCCTTTTTGTAATTTATGAGCCAGGGAGGTGGAAATGGCCAGTCCTGTAGTCCCGTAGTCCTGTTGCCTGCGGTGCATCGGTGGGCTTGGGGTACTTTGTCTTAATCCGAGGCTCATTCTACGCAACATTGCGTTCGTCCGGCTTTTATGGCTTCAATTAAGTGGAAATTATGCCGTATGGTCAAATTACGTATACGCCAGGTTGGTTTCAGCCAGAGCGTAGCTTAGAAACTGCAGTTGGGAGCTCTTAAATAATAGTTTTAGGCATCCAAAATGTTCCCGAAAAAATTCTAAAATATCCATTATGAATCCTTATCTCCCCTTCAACCATTCAAGCAGCAGTTCAAGTTCACCCATCGTTATAAACTGACAAGCGACCCATTGCGAGTGTCAGAGAACTCCCTGAACTTTCTCTGACATGCAGTTCTCCAATGAGTTTTCAGACATTTTGGGCAAGTGTCTGATGCCAAGGCGGCGACCCCTGCACGTCAGTCAGTGAGTCAAGCACACGAGCCTGGTGTCAGTTAGTTCGCCTAACACTTTAATTAAAAATCCGAAAACTGAAAACTGAAATCTGAAATCTCAACAAAAGGAACAAAATCTAAAGTTATGAATGCTTCGAACGAAAAGTGTCGAGGAGGCAAAACTAGACAGCCTGCTAAATGGAGGAAAGAGGACAGTTTTGTGGATGGGTGTCTCTGGCTTTTCTTATTAGATAGTAAAAGTGAATCGAAATCGAATGGAGATGGAAGAAATATTTTTGCACTTGCCCCACTTATATAAGAAATCAAGCAAATTCCTCTGCCCAAAAATAGGTGAAAGGAAAGGGGGAAATAAAATAGAAATGTTTTCCTCGCACAGCGAACGCGGAAAAACACTGTGCATATTATGCAAATTGAAATCGAAAAAGAATACCGAACGAAAATAAATGTTTATTGGCATTTGCTCTTGCGATAATCAATAATACTTCCGGTTCTGGCTGTCTCCAGCCAAATATTCGATTCCAATTCGGCATCTGTCTGTGCTCGTGTCTATGCAATAAGGCCACATTTGTAGCAAATTATTTTATTGACAAATTTGCGTGGCAATGGCGTTGAAATAGTATGAGCTTTCGCCTTATTGAACCTCTCGAAAAACGAATATGTTTGCATATGCGTGGATAGCGCTAAATGTGTAATTGAGATGATGGAACAACCCATAGGCGACACTAGATGTCAAAAATCATTGATAGAGTATGGAAAAATTGGTAAATATAATTGGGGATAATAACTGTGTTCTTAATGAATGCCTTGCATAAAATAATCTTAATTTATGCTGGTTTTAAAGGTACACCCCAAAGATAAACATTATGCGAGTGCTAAAAGCTAACATAAATGCGTTTTCTGTGTTTTTATAGAGCCTCCGGAACAAACCGGTCCTCATTCACTTCGAGTACATTTAATTAGCAATAAAATCAGTAATTATCCTGCACAAACACGGCAGTGGCAGTGACCAAAAATAAACCGAAAGGGGCGTGGCCGAGCGGCCATAAAACGCGAAACAAGCACAAACCCGTTGGCCATGCCACAAAAGTCAGCTTAAAATAAATTTAAATTTTAATTTCAATCTCGGTCCCATTCGGCCGACAGCCCCACACACAAAAGCCAACTGTTTCGGTGGCGGCGGTGAAAGTCTGTTACCCTTACCCTTACCCTTTTTTTGTTGGCCACCCCCTCGGCAGCCTCCCAGGAATCCCACCCCTTCCCTGGGAATCCCTGCCACTGCTGCGTAGACAACTTCCAGTGGCGCAGCTGCCATTTCGTGTGCAAGTGAGTGCGGTCTGATGGAAGCCATTGGCAGGTCCCTTGGCTTCCTCAAATCCGGCGTACGTCAAGTGTATCTGTGGGTCTGAGCAGGTTGCACATCGGGATACACTGCAATTTTGAGTACCCTCTTTTATATTTTTCAAAGATCCATCTCTTTTACTTTTCTTATCTTTAGCCTGTTTTTTTGAGGTGGTGTCTATTTTTTAAGAACTAAAAAAAACACAAAAATAGTCAAATCTTAAAACTTAATCGTAATCTATGACTAACAAAAACAAAGGATTTTACGCTTAATTTTTGAAAAGATTTTTTTTTGTCTTTTAAAGAACTGTAATTAAATGTAATTATAACTAATCGTCGGATTATATGCCAAACAGTATTATTGACATTTGAAAAATTTTTCAAAAGTAAAAATTAAATTACCCGAGTTGAAATACATTTTATCTTCAATTTAAGATCACTATGAATTAAATATAAAGAATACGTTTTAGCCTAACGTTTTTGTTTAATTATAACAAGGAAAACAAAAGTTGTATAAAAAGTAAATCATACAATTTCAAATGTTCTCTTTACTACTTAATAATATTTTGTATTATGAAAATGAGACCCAAATGATTCCCGAATATGGCCAACAGAAATATTGCGGCTGAGGGATTTCTGAGCGGCCTCATACATGCATATGCAGACAGGATGAATAAATAAAGCCAAGTGCTTCGCCGCGGTTCATTTCTGCCTTTTACCTTTTGGCTGCTGCCGCTGCTGCTCCCGAGCCTCCAACCCCCATGATATGACGTATACGCCGCGGTGTCTGACACTGAACGGCAGCCTTTTTTGATGCAATGTCTCCTGTGGGCAGTTGGGCCCCACGATTTGCGTAACCGAGCACATGTTGAGTCATTCACTGTGTGTTTGTGCTCGTATATGTATATGCGATTTAGTGGGCGCGCATAATGATTAAACGTCATTATATTGTAATTAACGAACTTGCTTAATTTGGATAATTTTTTTGTATTTCACCTTTCACCTCTGAACAAACTGCTACAATATAGGGCTACTATTATTCTGCAATGCTATCGATTTTCATTGTGGCTTCTGCCTTTTCACCTGCCTGGCTGCAGCGTTAATTGCTATCATCTAAATTCATATTTCCTGGCCCACAAAGTTGTGGCCCAGTTTGCAGGCGAAATAAACATACACATACTTACGTACAATAGGCGTGTGTTGACCTTTTTGCCTACAAATGGTCAATATGTAAATAGGTTGGCAATTAAAATGCTGGCAGGCTAAATTTTGTTAATTAGCCAAGAAAAAAAGTATCTAATTGGCTTTGGGTTTTGCTGCCTTAAAAGCTTTTATTGTACTGAAAGGAAATATATTTATTGTATTATTAAAACCCTCATATTGACTTTTCATTTATAAAATTTAAATATTTTTATTTGTTCTATTATAATAGTTCTATTATAATCTATTGATAATTATCAAAAAATACTCAGATACTCAATACAATACACAAAATTAAAAAAAGAATTGCTTATTTTGTTTAAATTATTTTCAAAAGGGAATTTAAGTATAATTTATACTAAAGTCACTAAAGTTTTTAAAAAATCTGATCAAAAATCAAATCAATTTATATTTAAGTTTTTTTTATAATGAATAAAGAGAAAACGTGTCTTTAATTTTAAACATTTTAAACAGCAACATTTAAGCGAACTCGCTTGCTATCTAGTGTCCTATTTGTCTCAAATCGTCGTATCTCGTGGCTTGCCATTTTGTTTGTGCCAAAAATAAAATAAAATGCAGAGCCAAGCAACACGTCAGCGTCAGCACATTTGGGCCAACTTTCAAACTACACTGTGAATATTGTCGCTTTGTTTTTACCATGCAATGGGGGTATATATACCTGGCTATTGCCATTGTTGGCCCCTATATATGCCTTATATTTTAGCTGCTATTTTACTTTTTGGGGCGTTGCCGCGGCTGAGTTTTAATTAGCCCTGAGTGCGTGTTGGGCTGAGCCAAAAGCCGTACAAATTGTTATATAAACACATACACACGCCCCAACGAAGTGTTTTCGAGAGCCTAAAACATTGTCGCTAGCAAAGTCGAAGTTGGCCAACACGAAAACTACGCAGGTCACGATGGAACTGTATAGTAAAAAGCCAGTGAAAGCAAGTGAAAAGTCTTGAAATGGCAGCGGAAATGAAATTACGGGAGAGTGGGGAGGTGGGGACGTGCCTGCAGCCCTGAAAAGGAATTTTTTCTGAGCCCCGCCCCCCACCTCACAGCCCTTTTTTCCATGGCAAATGTTAAGGTCCTTAGAACAAAAACTAATAGCAAATTTCGGGCGATGGCCTGCCCTTCTTATTTTGCATTTCTGTTTTGTTCACCATTTTTTAATTTGCATGTTTACGCCAAAATGGCATGCAGACGTTAAAGTAGCAGCAAAATATTCATAAAATATGAGAAGAGGAAATTCCGTTAATTTTTATTTGATGGCACAACATTTAAAGTAGAATTCACGAAATGCCAGTGGGAAATGGAGGATGCATTTATACAAAAAAGCACCGAAAAAGGAATTATGGAATTTATATTTCATACTTTATACTCTATCACATTCTTTACGAGTTGTAACTGTCGTTTTAAGGACATCGTAAAACTGATTTTGGCCCAAAAAACTTGAACTTTCATGGCACGAACATGTTAATGAAAATGGGGAAAAAAATGTCTGAGTGAAGAAAGGAGGTGAAGTTCCGAAGGGAAACTTGTGAAAATACTGCAACATTACTCTTGATAAAACTAAAGTTTTCCCAACATTTATTCCAAGTTCTTTGATATCTACAATATTATTATTTGATTTCCCTAAGATAACAAAAGCTAAAATGAAACAAAATTATTTACCAAGGGAGCCAGTGAGAACTTTGCAATGCAGATGTTTAGGTCTTCATATATATAAATATTTGTATTAATATTTCCCTCTCATTTCCAACTTTATACACATTTTGCAGCGCTACTTAGCTTATAAATTGTAATATTTGTGTATATTCTGAATATGGATTAGTCTTAAGTCTGGTTATGCATAATATGTTGTTCACATGTTCCTTGCAGTAAATCCGTCTCTATACCTAAGTTAAGATAATGCTGTGCAATGAGCAAGTAAGAGCGAGTTCAAAATGGTATCTCGACCAGAGGAAAAAAGCGCGAAAATGTAGCATAGTGAAGATGATTAGCTGATTTATTCTATGGGTGTATGTTTGCGTGCTTAAAAAAATACATAAAGTAAAGACACAAAACAGAGAGTATTTACCAAAAAGAAAGTTCACTTCCAAGGCCAAGAACGAATAAAACGAGCAGCTGCAGGAATTCATTAGAAGATCAAAAACAAATTCAGAGAAAGTAAGATAATATGAAATATATATATGTGTGTGGATTTAGAATTTAGACGCTTTTTGATACCCCAAATGGACATTAGCTAGGCAAACGGCAGAATATGCATTGAAAATTTTATAGACAACAACGCACCTTAGGCAGAACAAACATACATATTATACTCAAACCAAATAATTCGTTTATATTGTCATAATCCCACACGGAAATCAAGCACAGCTCCAAACTAAAAAGAAAAACATGTCGATGGATACACCCAGACAATACGCCCAAATGTATGCAATTTGATTGTGCAGATAGAATATTTTTTAAATGTTTATAAGCAGAGATTGAAATATTTGTAAAACATATTTTAATAGACACCGAAAACCAAAGGACAAACTTTTTGAAACATATTTTTTTATATACAACAGAGACAGGAGGACGACGGTATAGTTGAACACTGCGAATATGCACAAAACATATATATTTCGGATAACCCTAGCCTAAGTTAAAGTTGTTGTAACACTTTCCGTTTACAAGTTGACAAACAAATTTACTTTCGATGGTTTCACAACGATTATTTTGAGCCGTTTTTTGTATGCCGTTCGGTTGAAGCTTAAGCAAGTAATCCAAAGTACAATCATTTATGTCAAACAGGACACAAGAACACACCAGAGATATAGGTATTGGGCAGGACAATTCCGATTCCGATTCTAGGATAGAGAAATTGAAGAGTTGTTTTTACAGGGACAAAAAAACAAAACACTTTTTGCTAACAAATTGTATTAAATTCGTTTTACACAGATAGTTTTCAGTTTGAAAGGCAAGATTTTAAGAGTACAACCAAAGAGACATTATATAAACTTGAGCTTAGGTCTGTCGGCAAAACCACTGCGCAAACGAATGTAATCCCAGATAGAGTCGCCTGTACTTAGTTTGTAACTAGCGGTAAGGCTCTCCTCTCCTCCCTACCAAGATGTATGCAGCTGCTGGTGGCGCCTCGCTGGCCTCCCGCCAGGCGCGGCAGAGGCAGCGCCAGCAGAAGAAGACCCAACAGCTCCAGGCGAAGCTACATCCACCGAAGGCGGCCGGGGCCGTCGGACTCGCGTCCGGCGGTGATCATGCCGCCGAGGGCGCCTCCACGCCCACCCGCAGCCAGTCGCGCCAGTTCCACCAGCTGCCCACGAACTATCTGCGTGCCCCGCAGCCGCACGGCCGGAAGCTCAGCGCCACCTACACGACGCAATCGAAGCTCCTGCTGCCCATCGAGGAGGGCGACACGCAGTCGGTGCTGCAGCTGCGCATGCACTCCCACGCCCACGCCCATTCCCACGGTCACGCCGCCACCCACTCCCACTCGCACTCCCACGGTCCTGCGATCTCCGGCCATCATGGCCCCGTGCAGACTCCCTACCAGCAGTTCGCCTCATCCCACGGACGCGTCTCACCGAAACTGGTGCACCGGCACTCGGGCAGCAGCAGCAGCGCCGCCGGCGGCTTCCATCCGGCGATCTCCGCCGGCCAAATGCTGCACAAATCGGCGACGGCCACGCTGCCGCTGGTTTCGCACATGGAAGCGGAAGCGGAGTCGCCATCGGCGGTGGCCGGCGTTAAAACGACAGTGACCTCGTTGGAGACGGCGGCAGCCACGCCCACATCTCCGCCGCTGGCCAGCACTTCCGCTGCCGCTGCCGCCGCAATGGCGGCCGAGGCGGAGGCAGAGGCAGAGTTAGCTGGCACCATGTTTGTGCCCCACCATGATGCCATCATTGTAACGCCGGCCACGCCCATGGCCTCGCCGGGCCACGTGGCCAAGCTGCGGCGTCCGGGGCCCGAGGAGCTCTTCGAGGCGGCCTCGGCCGAAAGGCAGCCCCTAACCGCCGAGGACGAGGAGGAGGAGCCCCCTCCTGCGCCGGGTCAGCTGGAGCGCAAGTGCAGTGTCTACAGGATGCGGAGGAGCGATGCCTTCGAGGGGGATTCGAGTGGCGGCTTGAAGCGGCAGCTGAGGGAGCTGCAGTTCAGCGCCGGAGTCCAGCAGACGCAGTACGAACCCCTGCTCGCCGATGAGCCGCAGCTGATCTTCAAGGGACTTGGGGTCAATGGGCGCAAGATGCAGATATGCGCCTACTGCGAGGAGGGCATCTGCGTGTGCGAGCATCTCGAGGTAATTCCGGACCCCCTGCCCCACGAATCCCGGTGATAACTGTGATCCCAAGAGAAAAAGAAACCCCCTCCTTAATGCTTGCTTGTATGTCTTCTGCATGCTAAATAATTGTAACTGTATTATCCGTGTATGAGTATGAGTATTATTCGTGGGTACTATGAGTGTTATCCTTTTATGAGTGTTGTGACTTGGTATGTTTCTTTGAGTGTCGATCCCGAAAATAAGGATAGTGGTTTATTACAACCTTATTATATGAATATTTTTATGGGAGTTTTATGACATCCATTTTTAACACAATCTATAAGGTATGGACTTCCGTTTTACGTACATACGTCAAAACAAGCAGTTGAGGGGCTTTAGCCACAATATTTACTTACTTAATGACTTACGTCATTGGTAAACCAACCTCTTTCTGCGTTATAATATTTGTATGTTGTGGCATTTATGTATTCCGTTTCTGGTTTGAGTTACTTTTGGTTCCCTCAGGATTTCGTGTATGTGATATGTAATATTTTGCTCTTACTTCTTTAAATTTGAACTTTGTGCATTTAATCATTGAAAGAAAGTTAAAAAAACTAGTTATGTGCTTTAATCTAGGTGTGCTCTATTAAAGAATAAAATTGTATATATTTATTGATATAGGTTTTAAAAACTTTGCAAGGAGGGGGTTCGAGTATTTGTTTTACCATTTTACTAATTTTTTAAGGCAGGCACAACATTTTTGCAGATATGCCAAAATGACTGTATTAATGTTTTAAGCTCAAAGAGTTATTGCGAATCTCTTTAAATGGCAATATGTTTGTTGGTACTTGACATTTAAACAACACAGTATTAACATTATATATCGTTTATATTAGGACCAATAATGTCGAAACAATGGCGATATATATAATTTGTCTGTCGGGTTTCTGCCAATGCAAACATAAATTTGTTATATTTATCGGACTATGCAGTGTTTTGTTAAGCTTTTAAGAGAGAATTTTAGAAATTACATTGGTATTACAAGGTTATCTTTACTACGTTTTATGGACCTCAACCATAGTGAGTTTCCTGTGCCTTTGCCCAGTTGAACTAAGAAAGTATCCATAAAACACATTTTCAACGCTGTTATGATAGAGAGTATGTTTTTTTTGTCCGTACAATACAAAAATTTAAAATATTCAATCTAGGCCATGCAAGTTCCTTTGACAATCTACACACCCACACATTTTATAATGTGATACGTATGGCATCTCTAATAAGGACAAGTAGCTTTTGGCAGGAGTGAACAAGCTCGATGGGTCCGTGCAGCTTTCCTCTCGACTAGCCCCATTTTGAGGCGATGTTGCCATAACGGCGGCATCGACAGGGAAAATGATGGTGGAACCGGGAGGAGAAGGCAGCGGCGACGACGACGACGACTGCAAGTGCATGCATAACAACAATCCGAGAATCGGAAGCGCATAATGTGCCTTTGTATCGGCCTGATAATGCCCTGGCCGACAAAAAAAGCTTGGCAGGCCCAGTCCGCCCACCACGCCCCCAACTTTTCCCCACTTTTCCCGCCAGGTCATCACCTCCCCCAACTGGCGCCGTTTGCCAAATGTTGTGTAAAAGGCTAATGGCAACACTGAATGTGTGCCATAAATGTGCAAGGTGGCAGCAGCCGCGGCAGCGACTTAAAGTTTCCTCCTCCTTAAAGTTGCCACAGAGCTAGATTTTCATTTCGGTTCTCTCAGTTCTCGGATCACGACTCACTTAATGGGCTCTGGATGAGAGGCGGTAAATTAAAAAACTTAACACTGCGCTATTATTTGACTTGCATAAGCAGCGAATACGTCTTTATGCGGAATAGAGCACAAAACTTGCACAAATTAAACAAAACGTGCGCACAAAAGAAAATCTCTGTAAGCCGGGGATTCGAAGACGGAAGCGCCAGGCGAAAAGAGGAAAAACCAAGTCCACAGAAAGCTTTTCAACAAAACAAATAAATTTCACTGAATCGACAGAGTTTTTCTCATTAGCTGTTGTAGAGGAATTGTTAAACCATATTTAATACAAGTGAATGGAAATAGTAATGTTACCCAAAAAAACTACGCCAGGATCAAATCAAAATGCGCATGGTAGATTTATGGAATTTATACGTGTGTCTTTTTTACCATGCAATACTGATAAAATTGATAATAAATAATATCACTTTGCCGATTTCTGTGTCCCGGAGATTCTCTGTCTTCAAAAAAGAGAGGAAAAAGCAATATGGCGACTTAAATAGGAGCAAATATTTGGGATTTTGTACGGATAAGTAGTCCCATTTTAGGCATTTCTCAAAATAGTTCCGCTTTATAATAAGCTTAAGGTGTATGAGAACGATATGAGAATTTAATGGAAGCTCACATCGACACTAAGTCTTCTTGGTACCCACTGTTCTCGACCAGAACAGAGTGTTCAAAAAATTAAAGACCCAAAAAAAGAGATTGTACAAAAAGCGAAGAAAGTAAACAGCAAAAGCGACTGGCGGCGGCTGAAATTTATTATATTCCCTGGAAGTGGAACTGTGGAGCCCACGCCAGCGTCATTTCTAGTCTTCTTCTCTGCCACTCGAATCGCTAAGAGAGACATGGACTTTTCTATGGTTATGTGTATGCGTTTCCGCGTATATGTATATACGTATGGTTGTATGCATTCCCGAGCGCCTCGTGCACAAAAACAACAGCTAGTAAATTAGCTGGAAAATAGAGAAAAAAGTGTGCGGCAAAATGGCGGACGCCAGAAATGCGAAAAAATATCATCATCGCCATTTGTTCCACCGCCCACACCGCCGCTTTTCCCCCTTTCTCCCCCTGAAAAACAGTGGAATGAAAATGGGCGAAAGACTTGTAATAAAGGTGAAAATAAACGTGCCACGGTCGCCGGGGGTTTTCGCAGGGCGCGGGAGGGGGTTGTCTAGAATTTATGAATAAGCAAAATGGCGACATTGAGATAAATAACTGCATTAGCATTAATTGCCCACTGCAAATGTTTGTGTGAGTCTATCGCAGCGAGTTTAGAACAGATTTAGTGGCAGCGTTTTGTAAAATAAGTGCAGAGATGGGAATACAATTTGCTATCAACAAATCTAGTTTATATGTAGAACATACATATAAGGGCATTTTCAAAGGTCATCATGCAAGAATTTGAAAATGTTATGTTTACAAAAGGAAAAAGGCTACCCCCTTTTGAGTTTTTTTGATCGATAGGGAATAAATTTAAAGAAAACCAAGATTTAGAACTTTTTTAAACCAACAAATACATTTTGAAAATTATATCAATCTAAGCTTTGGGTTCAAGCAAAAAGTATTCGAAAAAAAAGAAATATTGGGTGAACAAAAAGAAAGCAACACTCAATTTCTTCTTAAATCTTAGATCCGCCTCTGAAAATAACCATTTAATCGACTACTTTGTAATTCCCCCCAAAAACATTTTTAGCTTCCATTTATACGGCTTTAAACCTTTTTTTGCCATCCCAGTTTAGATTGCCCAATTATCTAGCTTGCAGAACGTTCCATATTAATTGAAAATCCATGTCAAGGCCAGATTGTTAGCTCTTTGGTCCAATCAGAGATTCGAGGCCGTTCGATTGTGATTATTTCAGTTTGATGAATCAAATCGCTTACGCCCGAATGAACAAGATGCCTTGATTTACAGCCAGTTGCCAGCAAGTCGTCGTTGTCGTCGTCGTCCGTCGTAGTCGTAATTTAATTTCCAATTACACGAGATGTCTGCCAAAAAGTGCGACGCTGGCGATTGTTGCTGCCTCAGAATGCAGCCTCGATAATTACTCAAACTGTCGCCCGAATCCGGCGCCAGTGGGCAAAGGGGAGCCCACTTTATATCGGTGCGGATTGAAGCGGAGACATCCTCTTGGCCTATTTTTCCCAATTCTCGGCGGTTGCCTGGTAATTGTTTGTCAGGCACGTCGGTCCTGGCCAGTTCTCGTAATTGTAACTGACATATTGCCAGTGCACAGCCTCAGTTTCCCCAAAGCCATCTCGCAAATACAGTGGTAATCATCCTTGTGTTCAGAAAAATAAGAAACCATCGACAGTTCCTTGTTTATGGCATACTTTGCGGTGGCTTCATTGAATTATTGTTGCATAATTCATTCTCTTTAAACACACACTCGCCCAAACAGAGAAAGGGAGAAAGTAAGAAACTCTTATCGTTTATTACAAAGCCGCATTTAAATTAATTTTCGATTTTGGTCGATTTTTGATGCTTTTTTCTCTGTTTGCTCATCCATCCATTGAGCCAACATTTATCTTCGAAGTTTCGCCAGCGTTGTTGTTGATTGTTGCCACTGCCATCGACAATAAAAATCATTTAAAAAGACACAAATTACTCTGCACAATGTGCACAGCTCCAAAATTGCTGGGACAGCTTTATGGCCGGAGTCCCAAAGGGGCATTTACTACAGTAAAATTGGAAAATGGGGTTTATGCAAAGTGGAGTGGAGCTATATAAATGCAATTGTTTTCATTCATTTAACTGAGTCACAAATTGAGCAATATTTAAATATAAATAAATAATATTTATAATACCAATCACATATCGTGGTCCTGATTGAGTAAATAATTTGTGTACCATCAAAAGAGTATCATATGATTGGGTTTTTATTGTGAACTAAAAATTAAAATTTTAAATTTCGAAATTGTAATTTAAAACTAAAATATAAAAAATGTTTTTCTTAAAAATTTCTTTTGGTTCTGAAATCATTTACAAAAGTGCCTAGAAGTATGCAATGAAAAACCGCATAATTATTAGAAACCATCCAACTTATGAATTCGAAATGTTTTGTTGCATACTTTTAGACATCTTAATAAGAGATTTAAAAACTCTAATTTTGTGCTTTTTATAAAGGCCAAAAAATTACCAAACAATTATTGATCTCTAAAATTAAAGAATAGTAAGCAATTTAAACCCAATAAAAAATGCACCACAAACCAAGTGTCAATGAAGCGTGCCCCCGCAGTGAAACTGCTCAA